CTGAGGTGTCTTCTGGGTAATCCTTTCCCCCACTTTCCTCTAGTTCCTCTTGCAATTTTTTTAATTCAGAAGGGAATAAGAAGAAAAAAACAAAAACACGAAGAAGAAAAAAAAAAAACACATGGGGTTATAAAGGAAACCAATCTCCCCAAAATAGGTCTGGGGATTTTACTTTTTTCTGAGCCTCAGAAAGTCCCTCTCCGCCGTGGTTTCTAACACAGGCAACCAACACACAGGACACCGGCATCAGGTCGGACGGCGCTGGTGTCTCACCGCCAGGGGCTTCGGCAGGTGCGAGCCTGACAGGTGGAGAGAAGATGACAACGCTTCTCTCCTCAGAAGGTGAAAGACAAGAGGGAAAAGTCACAGCCAAGACTGCACCAGGTGTGGCAGGGAACCTGACACCCTGCAGCAGTGCTGGCCTTTTGGGTGAACTCTGCTGGCTGTTCTCGGCTAGCCTGGCCACCCCCACCCCCACCCCTGCAAGCCCTTCTGACTTCCGCAGCTCCCAGGTGTCACAGCCCAGCTACAGAGACCCCCAGACTTTCCCAACTGCGTTCTGAAATCTGTTTGCCGTAGCTGTGGGTCTGGCTGCCCTTCCCAGGTGAGGGGACGTTTCCGGTCTTGCGCACAGCATCTAAAGCAACAGCCGGCTGATAGCATCAGGGTCCACATGCCGGAGGGAGAGAGTCTGCCCTGGGTGCTGGCTCGGAGGGGACTGAATGATTCATCAGGCCTGATCAGCAAGCATGATGTCCCCTGGTGAAGTGGGAGGCCTGGGGACCCCGCCCACTGAGGGACAGGAACCAAGGTGACTCACAGTTGGATCCCGAGGAAAAGTTCCATCCTTGTGTCCTCTGGATGGCTCTGGTCTCTGGGTGAGCTCACCCCCGTCACTGCTGACACTCAGACCAGGCCTTGATTCCTGTTCCCAGAGTCCCTGGCACCTTCCCACTCTCAATTATGGTAGTGGCAGAGATCGTCGTCGGAGGGCAGCAGTCTGTCCCCAGCACACACACGTGTGACGTGACTGAGGACACAGCATGTCCTCCCTGGGCATCCAGCTGCTCATCCGTGAACACAGTCCTCCTCCTGCTGATCTCATGCAGGAGCCTTGGGGACAGCGAGGCAGTGGATGCGACAGTTCTTTGATAGGAAGTTTGCAAAGCCAGAGCCAGTGACTAATACTGAGATTACTGTTTCTGACTGCTGCCCTGGGGTCCAGCCAACAGGCTCCCATCTTGCTTTCTCTCCCTGGACCCTGCATTTGGAGGTGGGTGTGCTGGGCCCAGGGGGAGAAGGGTCCCCACCAGAGTCATCCAAAAACACACTTGATGTTGGTAGAAACACAGATCATGACCCCATCGCTCCTACTGCCCCTTCTTTACCCCAAGGGTTTCCAACAGAGCATGCAAATGTTTCTATAGCTTTGCCAGGCAGAGGCATACACAGGAGCCACGGAGAAGTCTCCCAAAGCAGCCAGTCTTCCCCTTATGCGCTCAGCTGTCAGATCCCACACAATCACAAGACACTGGCTAACAACCACCATGACCAAGAACTTGCACACACCTTCCCAGGAAGACATGCTGCTTCAGATGAGGAGCCCCAGGGTACCTGTGACCTGCCCTCCTGGAAGGCAATAGCAGTCACAGGGTAGAAGACAAGAGAGAATGATGGAAGACCCCATTCATGGCTGCAATTGGAGCTGCACTTCCTTAGCAGGAAGAGGGAGATGAGAGGAAAGCATGAGGCTGCAAGACGGCAAGGAGAGCTCCACAGAGGCAGCAGTGCGAACTACGCTGGAGGCAGGCGTCCCTTGGGTCTTCTGTGCACCCTCACTGCCCTAACGCAAGTGGAAGAGCTGGAAGAAGAGAATTCGCCTGTCTTCCCACTCCCTTTGCTTTGCCTTTCCATCCTTTGATGCCGGGCCTGCAATGTGCCCCTGATGGCTTTACAGAGGAGAAGAAGCCACTCCTATTAAGCCAGGACCCCACACAAGAGGGAATCCTGAATCAGCCAGTCGTCGCTGCTGAGAATCGGCTCCTGTGATGTGCTCATACCTTCTCAGCTCATCCCCCAAAATCACTGTCATTCTGTTGTCAGAGGTAAATGATAGGACAGGAGGAACCTGGGCACATTCAGTCCACCCCCGACCCCCATTCGCAAACCCTTCCACTAGGTGCCCTGTTCCTACGGGCTTCCACACCAGCCCCTTCTGTGAGTTGGATCATAAACCTTGCCTCGGCTCCCAGGTCCCTTGGAAGCAGGACCAAAAGTCTTGGGGACCCTGCCTGGCACGGCCTTCATGCCCTGGGGTTCTCAGCCCCCTCACAAACTCCTACCATGCCTGTGCCCTGTTCTCAAAGCTACCTCACAGCTTCTGGGTTCCCACTCTGGTTCTGGATGTTGCTGCTCCCTCTGACCCAAACGCTCTTCCCTAACATTCAAGTGCTCCACCCCTCAGCTCGCTCCAGTCACCTGCTCCATTCTCCCAGCTGCCTGCTCACCGCTCTTTCCCTGCCTAACACATCTGAGCCACTTTTCCTGCCTCTTATTTTTTTCCATGATACTATTCCCTTCTCATGTACTAGACAATTTACTTCTTTATCACTGTCTATTTATTGCCAGTCTTTCCCCCACTAGAAGGCAAGTTCCCTGAAAGTAGGATAGTGCCTGCTTTGTTCTGTTCTCTACCTAGAGTGGTCCTAACAGTGACAGGCACCCAGTATCCATTAGATGAATGAAAGAAAGAATGAAAGGAATGGATGATGAATGGATGAAATCACTCAGGTGGGAGGAAGGGGCTATATCGTATGGAATCACCTGGCACTCGGTAGAGGACACCTGGAAGAGAAAGGAGGCCTGGGGTTGGCAAGAGCGGAAGGTGCTACAGTCAGAGGCAGTGCACATGCCTGGCCTGGAAATCCCCTTGAAGTCACTCATTAACCATCCCTACCCCAGTCACCAAGCCCAGGCAGAATGACTTCAACACCTGGCACTCCACGCAAGCCCACGTTCCCATCCAAGAGCTCGCACTTTGGCTAGGCCCCGAGCCTTTGCTCCGGGGATCCTAGGGTCAACAGAAAAAAAGAGACATCCAAGGTTGGAAATAAGACACCCAAGAAACACAAACGAGCCCTCCTCCCCACTCCCACCCTGTTGAGCCACCTACGGGGCAGGAGAGCCAGTACTGGAGGTAATATCTTGTTTAATAGATTATGGAGTGGCCTAGCCATGGGCCCCCATGGCTGTGGGGTTTAGGAAGGTGAGGAGCAGGTGTGGTCAGCATGGGGCAGAGTGCAGAGTCCATTCTTGGGGGAAGGACACACAGTGGAAAGAAATGGATGAAGGCGAAGTGTCCAAGGATATCTGGTCACTGGGCAGATCAACAGAGAGGTGTGATGGGTTTCTTAACCTATCAGAAGGTGACACGTTGAATACTGGGTCTAAGAAAGAGGTGTAAGGAAAACACAAATAGAATCACTTTGGAGAGGAAATCCAAAGGCTGGAGCCCTTGATGGGTATTCCAGCTGGGTCTTCAAAAGCCAAGATGGAGAGGCAGTCAGGAAAGGAGAGAAAATCCAATGGTGTGGAGCAACTGTCAGAGCCCAGTGTGCTGGTGAAGAGGGAGTTAAGGACACTGGTCAGCTCCTGTGATAGATCCTCGTGGAATAAGAGACAGAGGAGGAAGGAAGAGAACTAACAGGGCACCTGATCCAGATCTTTGCATTGTTTTCTTCAACACTTAGTCTCCCCTGAGGACAGGGAATGAACATTACCTTCTGACAGATGAGGAAATGTTACCTAGGATCACATCCCAGAGGCTCCCAAGACTGAATACAAAATAATACAGAAAACACACCAACATATATGCTTAATATGTTCCAGTACTGGGCCAGGTTCTCAGTGTGCCTACTTTATTTCACTTCACAATACAGAAGAGACTGTCCTTATTACCGCCATTTTGCAGATGGGAAACTAAAGTCCACAGGAGAAGAGCTCATCTATCAGCCCATGGTCACAAAGTGAGAAAGCAGTGGGAGCTGGATTTGAATCCAGGCCATCTGGGTCCATGGTCCTTACTGCTGCACTAGACGAAACAGTGACAAGCTGACAACATAATCTGCCTGGTTGCAAACCCCTGCTTTGCACTGGAAATGCAAAGCAGCACCCTCCTTCCAAGTTCCATGGGAGAAATAGAAACAATCTGCTGTCTCCCACCGAACATGGTACTTCTGAGCTTCTAGCCAGAATGAGAGTTACAGCCAGAACAGAAGCCACTGTGGATGGGGAAGTCTAGACAACTGTGGGCAAATCTAGCCCTTGGGTGAAAGAACGGGCCGTCTGCTCCACATCCTGCATTATCAGGACTAGACTTCAATCAGCAGCACTCCAGAAACCTTTAGGAACCCATAATCCTGAGGACAGTCTCTGTTCCCAAGGCCAGTGGGAACAATCCACCTATCTCCTACACCTACAGGCTGTGAGTCACCTGCCTGACGGTTCTTCCTGCACACTGCCCGAAAGACCTCTCGGCCTGCGATGGACTCCACGTCTAAAGTGCAGGTAGCAGGAACTGATGTGTGACCTGGTGAGCAGCTGGAACAACTCACTATCACTCAAATCAGCTACAGATCACAGTAACACTTCAGAGCTGGCTTTCCATCCTGGTTTCCTCGCAAATTACCTGTGTGAGCTTGGTTTTCTCATCTGCAGGTTGGGCATCATGTAACTCACCTGCTACAGCTGTGAGAGGCCAAATGACTTCACCCAAATAACAGCAGTGGAACACAGCCTGGCCAGAACTAATAAATACTGACTGTACTTACTAAACCTGGGCCCCTGAGCCTCCTCTGATGGCTACCTGTGAGGCTCCTGCTGACAACGGCACTCTGGGCAGTTAGGAATATGTATACAGGTGACGGGCAAAGACACAAAACCCCCAAAGCTAGAAGCTGTGCAAGGTTATAACTGTGTCATGGTGACCGAGTGCAACTCACCTTTCTCCTTGTCCTTCCTTCTTGGATCCGAGCAATCACCAAGCCAACTGGAAATTTCTGATGTCACCTGAAAAAAATAAGGAGAGGGTTATACCAGGAAAGCATATAATAATGTAACTCATTTTTAGGCTTAAAATATGGAGGGCATAGCTTTTGAATACCAGGGTCCTCTGATGCTCAGAAAGCCAGGACTATTAAAATAGCTACTTACTCCTCAATACAGAATAAAACTACACTCATTTAAATAAACAAAACAAAGGGAGAAATCCATTCCCTACATCAATTGCAGATGTGGTAAATCAAAGACTACTTTCCAAGAATGAAGTTTTTAATGGTAAACTAGACCTAGAATGAACCAAGATATAAATCAATATGACTATTACACTGGATAGTAATTTTTTCAAATTATAACAAAACTCAAATTCACAATGGGCCTTGATTATAAAATGATCTGCCACTAAGTATTAAGCTGTTCTGCTTTTACTGGGCACTTTTGAGAAAGACTCCTGTGATACTATCATTGGATGTTGTGATCTGATTGTATATCTGAATTCATTAAATGGGATAATGTGCTAGGAGTATCTAACTCCATGTCTGGCCTTTATCATGTTTTCAATAAATATCAACTATACTACTATTAATTACACATTTTTGTGGGTTCCTAGAGTGCTGAGTTGTCTTGAACCATCCATATAATCTGTGAACAAACGTACACTGATGTCACTAGGGCTGCTGTCACTGCTGCTGCTAAAACAGATATTTAATCTTTAAATCCGGCCTCTGTTCAATCTCATTCTGACACCAGGAAGAGTAGTATTTCAAAAGGTGGTTAAAGATAATAGCTCCATTCTCAACTTCCCCATCATTAGGCTCAAAGAAATCACTCTAGACCCTTAGGTTGGCAAATGAAAACAGAGAGAAGAAAGGAAAAGGGGAAAAAGAATACCATCCGATTTGAAACAGAAAACCTGTAACCTTCACACACAAGAGAAAGGATTGTTTGGGTGGCATTTTGTCTCCCCTGCCTGAGCATCACACATCATCACTGCGGTGGTTTCTGAGTTCCTGAGGACAGGGCCAGACTGGTCCTCTGCTGCCAGTCCCATAAGCCATACCTGCCACCTCACCAGACGGCGAAGGAGGAACCTCGCCTGTTGTGTTACAACGCAGGCCACAGCCACATGCCTGCTGCACCTGCCTCCCGCTCCCAAAGCCATGAACTTATTCCCAGACCAACCTCGAATGCGACAGACTCTTGATCACAGGATAGAGGAACTTGCCATTTTAGGCCAGATGAAGGGGTGCACCCTTTGGGACCCCAAGGGTTGACAAGCAAATGCTGATCAACTTGTTAACAGGGAGCAAGCAAAACCTACTAAGCTCGCCAACTTCGGCCCTGGGCTTTGTAATGGATCCTATTTACTCTAACTGGTATATGGTGAGGCTGGGTAGGGGCTGTTTTCTAAACACCTCCCTGGTAAGTTTGAGGATCCTCCAGGGTTGTTGCTCCAATGTGCACCAGAGGGTCAGGGGGGGTGGTCTGAGTTTCTGCCTTTCTAGCACACTTGTAGGCAAATCTAAGGTTTGAGGGGTGGTCCTTAGAACACACTCTACACAAACCTGAGCTTAGAGTATCCTGGTAATCCTTCTAAGTCCCCAAGGAGCCTCAGGCAAGCTGACCTCATCCCTCTGCAGCCACAGCGGGGACACTGCTCACAGCCTAAGAGACAGTGGGCCCTCACCAGTTCTATACAACTTCAAGGCAATCAGACCCCAGGCCTGAAATGCCCCGCTGAAGGGCTCTACGTTTAACAGAATGTTTGCTTGGGCTTTGTTTAATCTGCAGGGTGTTTTTTCCCTTGGTTTTCTGCATTGGCATGATAACCAGGACCTCCCGGAGAGCCTGGCTGCCCCATGGGTCCTAACTCTTTTCCCCTGGCACACTGGCTGGCCTCTGTCCTCAGGAACCCCGCCTTGCTGCACACACCTCCCCACCACTTAAGCGCTGCTCTTCCATCCTTACTGGGAAGTGGGTGGCACCAGGCCAGCAGCAGCCCACCATGCCCACCACCACACCTGAGGCAGGCTAGAGCTTGCAGCTGGCTGCCTACAGCCTGCCCCAAAGTTCCGCTCTTCCCCTCTGCCTCGAGCCCCCACCCCTATCAGATCCTTCCTGACCCCCCCACAGGTGCTTGAGCCCTGCATCACCCAAGTGATCCCCAGCCCAGGTAGGATGCCCACCTCAAAGATCCCTTCACCCAAGACAGAAGAGCCCCGGACACAAAAGCCTTCCAGGTGAAACACAGAACAGGCCAGCCTAGAGTCAGGCTACTCCCACAAACCTCCTGTCTTCTCCAACAAGCATACCAGGACCTCAGTAAGCCATGCTGACTCGGAAGACCCCACTCGGAGAAGACCAGGGCAGGGAAGGACAAATACATGGATGGTCTATGGGCCTCAACACTTCATAGGAACCCCTACACAGAGCCCTCTTTCTGGCCAGCATAAGGGCTGTAGTTTAGGGAAATTCTTGGACCTTATGAATGGCTCCAAAACCAGAGGGAAGAACAGGAAGTGGTGGCACACACCTGTAATCCCAGCACTCGGGAGGCTGAGGCAGGAGGATCCTTGCGAGTTTGAGACTAGCCTGGGCTACAAAGTGAGCTCAAGGCCAACCTGAGCTGCATAGCGAGACCCTGTCTCAAAACAAAACAAAACAAAACAAAAAACCCAGAGGGAAGCAACTTTTAGAAGTCACTGTGTAGAACTCACTCCTCGAGGAGCCCAGGTAGCCAGGCATCTGTCAGGAGGTCATGAGGCTGGGCTAAGTTCTTTTCTAAGACCCTACCCAAGGCCAACATGTCCAGCAGTCACTGATATAATTAGGGGTTCATGACAGTGATCTCATTAATAAGAACAAATGTCAACAATATTAATGTCTTGATAATGAGTCCAGCCCGGACTCTGTTGTCCTTGTACCACTGCGGTCATACATGTAATTTTTCCTTAATAGGAAAAGGGGCCGACGGAGACAGAGGGCCTTGGTCATAAACATCATTTGGCCTCAGTGGTGACTACTTCTTTCCAGGCTCCTTACTCGGTAGTTTTCACGGAGACCCCTAGTTGAATGCCTCATTGCTGTCATTGCAGATCTTTCTAGAAGGCCCCCACCACAGCCAGAGAGCAGCCCCCCTGCTGCAGGCCAGGTCACCTGAGGCCCTCAGGTGCCCCAGGGTGTTTCTGACTACAGAAAGGCCCCAAAGCCACCCACCCGTGTGGGAGCAGTGCGGTCTGGCAGGACGGGCATCAGTGCTGCGGCCCAAACACACACACACTCAGCCCTGCAGCCTAAACACCCAGCACACATCACACCCAGGCCTATAAAAGATAATTATACAATCTGATCTGGCAAATTAGTGCTGCAGAACTGTCTAATTCTCACAATGAATTTGAGGGCTGGATCGGCAGGAAAAATTAACCTGGATCTTTATTGGGATTTGCCCCCAGGTCAGGATTAGGGTTCATTTATCTCTTTTATTTTCCTGCTGAGGGAAGGTGGAGAGGCTTTCTCTCCTGCCTGCCCACCCCTCCCTACCCCATCCAGGCTTGGCTTTGAGACAAGCCAGCTGCCTGGGACCTTTCCCACGCACTACAGCCTCCAGCTCGAGTCCTACAGCACCAGCTAGGAGGGAGGGAGGGAGGGATAGACAGATAGACAATAGAAGGATAGATAATTTTTGACAAGGAAAAGTTCAGGCATCCCAAATCCAGGAATTCAGTCAACACTAACTCAATACAAGGTGCGTGAACTGACATTCGCAGGTTACAATTTACCTCCTAATTATTCTGGCCTAACGCTGAAGTGTTTCCTTCGCGAACGCTCACATATACACATTTCTCTACCTCCTCCACCTCTCTCTTTCTCTCTCTCCCTCTCTCATTCCCCTCCATCCCTTTCAAGGAATCTTCACAGGAGATGGTCATTAGAAGGAGTTGGTGCCTATCTCCTTAGCTCATTCAGCAGCAGAATCAGCCATGCATGGTGGTACAAATCTGAAATTCCAGCACTAGGTGAGGCAGGAGGACAGTGAGTTTTAGGCCGGCTTGGGCCCCAGGTCCACCATTGCATTCAAGGTTGACCAAACTATACAGCAAAACCTTATTTCAAAAAAAAAAAAAAGAAGGATCAATAGATGGGCACAGAGGTGCATGCGTGTAATCCCAGTACTCTGCAAGGATTATCCTTCATCTAACAAAAACAGACACCATGGCAGGCCTTCACAAAAACTTTACTTTGGTTACCTCTTTTTTTTTTTTTTTTTTTTGGTTTTTCTCCGGTACCGGGAACCGAACTCATGACCTTGCGCTTGCCAGGCAGGCGCTTTTGCCGCTGAGCTAAATCCCCAGCCCCTAAACTTTACTTTGGGTACCTTTCTCAGGGTTCCCCTTGGGAATCATAATACGCTACTCACACTACCTCAGCCGCACCTTGACCACACACCCAGGGCTTGAAAGACAAGGCCCCAGACAATACAGAGGTATTCAGCTTTCACACCGTCTTAGGCTAAGAGGATGTAGGTCTGTCGGAGAAACAGTCACAACGGATGCACAGGCTGAGACAACTTTCCCCCTATTGAATGCCTGCATAATCTACCCATGAAATTATTCAAATGTGCCTCTCTATCAGACCAACCCGGCTCAGAGAATATGTGTTGTGTACAAGCTACAAGGCAGGGGGTGGTGGGGGTAGCCTGCAGCACTACTCCACTTCAGAGCAGGACTGACTGTATGCGGGCAACTCACTCAGCAAACATACACATAGGGGTATGTGTGTGTGTGTGTGTGTGTGTGTGTGTGTGTGTGTATTTCAAGGACAATGATTTATGGGAAAACAAACTTTTTTTTTTTTTTGGTGGTACCAGGTGTTGAACTCAGGACCTTGTGCATGCTAGGCAAGCACAATACCACTGAGCTACATCCCCAGCCCAAACAAACCCCTGTAAACAACTGTCATTTCTTAAGAGTGGTGAAAAGACGAGCAGAACTTGCAAAGGTATCATCAGTCAC